CCCGGCTCCCCGGAGTTGGGCTGCTGCTCCCGCGGCCCGGCCCCGGCCCCGGCCCGCCCGGACAGCGGCAAGGGCTGCTGTCACCGGCCCGCTCGCGTCGCTCCCTCCACACACCCACCAGCCAGCCTTGTGCCTCGAGGGGGCTCGTTGTTGCTGGGCATCGCGCAACCCTCTCCGGGGCCAAACCTGGGCAATGCCAGAGCCGGGAGCAAAACTCCCCAAGTTTCCCACAAGTCCACGAGCGCTAGCGCCTCGCCTCGATGCTCCCACACAGTCTGGTCAACGTGCCGCCCCCCCCATGCCGCAGGGGGTCGCTGTGGCCATGTCCGTCGCCTCGTGCCTCGGGGAGGGTTAGCTTTGCCTCTGTCAGGGCATCTCAGAGTCTGAGGCACTGCCTTGGGCCCCGCCAAGAGGAACCGCCACCAGACGCTGACGTCTGAGCACGGACGCAGGCCGCACAAACGAGGCGCCACTCGCCAGAAGCGTCGTGCGGGCTATTTTCAATCTCCCTGTTGCCAAACAGTCAATCGGACGCACACCAAGTACACCCGCCTGCCTGTGCTTCCCCAGGCTTTGCCTGTGCGTGCTGCTCTGGGGATGTCTTGACAAGGATCAGTGGGGTGGGTGTCCATGGGTGCTGACAGCGGCTCTCATCTCAGACAGACAGCGCTCTCCCGGCTGAGGGCCGGGCTGGGCCTTGTGGGGCTCTGTCCACATCTGGCTGCCTGGGATTGACAAGAAAATTCAGACAGGATCACTGTCTGGCTGCCAGAAGCGCTTTATTTTGCATGGCCATGGGAGAAAAAGCAAGGGGCAGCTGGTTCTCAACGAGAGCAAAACAGACTCCTTGATATACTGATAAGTCACATACAGGTCAACCTGCCCTGTAACACACTCTTGGCAGTCTGACAGTGACTCATCTTGTTGTCTTGCTGAACCAAGCATGTTTTCTCAAGCCGTCTCCCGATAAGCTTGTCCTGAAGGCCGTCTTGTTATTCCCACTCGGCCTTCACCCACATCCCCCATCCTGCCTCGACACATATACACTTCTTTCAGTACTTTTCCATTCCTCATCAGGATGAGACCTGGTCCCGATCCCAGTCGAGTCCGGGCCTGGCACCACTTAGTGGCAGTTTGGAGATGCTTGACGCTGTGGGTTAAGCCCCTGCTGTGGAGAGCATCTCTGTCTCCAGCCATTGGCACCTGGGAGAAGTCAGCGCGGTCTGAATGCCTCGAACCAAGTGGCTGGGAAGAAAGCCCCAGGTTATGGCGTCTGTCTGCAGCCTGCTCCAGATACGAACGCCGGCAGCGAAGGGGCTGGGTTTCGTATCGAGAGAGGACAGAGGGTGACCATACTGTGTCCATCTAAAAAGGCCCCACTGGATAAAAATAATCCACGAAAATGGAAATTTTAAGATGAACAATTGTTATTTCTGCACAAATGTATGAACTCAACATGAATAACGACTGTGGAGCCGTAACCATGCGTATTCCTGTTATGGTTGGACACTCGTGGTAGAGGCAATCTCTTTGACTAGACCAGCAAGAAAATGCCTTTAATGGCAAGCTTTTTGCAAAACTCATGGTGCAGCCCAAGAGATTGCCTCTACTGCGAGTCCCAATCACCTTTTCCTCAGCCACAACCTGGAGAGCCGGCATGTTCAGAGCGTCGTTTCTCTACCTCGGCTTTATTTACCGACTGATTGTTATGAACCTGGATATGGAGGCCGTGTTCACTACATGTTCGGAGGTGCCTGGTGTAGCAGCCTCAGCCCAGCGCTGCGCCGGCATGGGCCTCGCCTGGCGCTGCCGGGACGGTGCCGTAGGGGCAGCCCAGGTCCCGGTCCTCCGCCCCTACAGCACCCCGCACCGTCTGTCCTCTGCTCGTCTCCCCAGCATGGGCGAGGGGTTTCGTGTTGTCAAGAGCAAGGTGGGGGACATGGGGCTCGGTGCTGGTGGAGCACACAGCACACGCGGCTGCCCCCGCTATCCCCGTGGAAACCCGGGGGGCGATGGGAGGGACGGACAGACAGACCCATTTTGCCCACGACCAAAATGGTCGCCGAGGACTCCTGGCGAGGGGGGGGCCACGTTAGAGCGGCGTGACGTTTGAGGCACGAAGTCTCGCGAGAGCGTTGCTGCAGGCAAGCCCCG